GCTCACAAATCCTTGAAAGATCTGGACAAAGTCCCATCGGTGAGCTCCTCCGGCAGACAAGGCTGCGTTGGCTGGGTCATGTAGCCCGCATGCCCAGCCACCGCATGGCTAAACAGCTTTTGTTCGGCCAGATCGAGGGGGCTAAACGGGTGTGGCACGGGCTAGAGAAGAGATGGACTGATGTGGTACAGGAGGACGTGGAGCTGATTGAACTTGCCGATGACTGGTACCAGCGGTGTCAAGATCGGCCTCTGTGGAAGAGGCTCGTGAAGGACGCTACTGGGCAGTTGGAGGCAGTCGCCCTCCGTTGGAAGGCAGAGGAGTGACGCTCACAACAACGAGCCGAGTGCCGGGTGGCTAAAGCAAAGCAAGTTGGCACAGGAGGAGGCACAAGTGGTGCATCAGCCACTCAGTCAGTTAACCCGTGGCACCTGGGTCTGTCCAGTGACCTCATGTCAGCGGGCGTTGAACACTTCACGTGGCCTCAACGTGCACCTAGCCTGGCACAAGCATCGTGGTGACGTCACCGCCACTTAGTGGCGAATGGTGGTTGTTGTTGTTGAGTGGGTGAGTAAGTGGGTGAGTGAGTGAGTGGGTAAGTGGGTGAATTAGTGGGTGAGTGAGTGATTGAGTGAGTGAGTGGGTGAGTGAGTGGGTGAGTGAGTGGGTGAGTAAGTGGGTGAGTGAGTGAGTGGGTGAGTGGGTGAGTGGGTGAGTGAGTGAGTGAGTGGGTGAGTAAGTGGGTGAGTGAGTGAGTGGGTAAGTGGGTGAATTAGTGGGTGAGTGAGTGAGTGAGTGGGTGAGTAAGTGGGTGAGTGAGTGAGTGAGTGGGTGAGTGGGTGAGTGGGTGAGTGAGTGGGTAAGTTAGTAAGTTGGTGAGTGTGTGACTCAGAGACCCAGTTTGTTGGTGTGTAGTTGTAGATGTGCATGTGTGGTTGTTGTTGATGTTTGGTCGTTGTTGTTGCTGTTGTTGTTGTGGTTGTTGTTGACTTTAGATGCACAAGCCAAGGAAGTCCTCTTCCACAAAATGGCTGCCGGCTACGTGGCGGCCATGTTGGACATGGAGGGCAGGAAGCCAGGCCCCACGAGCATTCTGGGTAAACACTGTACACACACCGAAAGGCACTGTACAAACACGGTACGTGCACTGTACACGCATTGTACATGGTACATGGCCTGGCACAAGCGTCGTAGTGACGTCACTGCCACTTAGTGGCGAATGGCGGTTGTTGTTGTGTGTCAATGTCTGTGTGTGTCACTGTGTGTCAATGTATGTGTATCACTGTCCGTGTGTGTGTCCGTTTTATTATCTCCGCATATATACACACATCTCTCCCCGTGTCTCTCTCTCTGTCTCTGTATCCCCCCGTGTCTGTCTCTGTATCTCCCCGTGTCTCTGTTTCTGTGTCTCCCCGTGTCTCTCTCTGTCTCTGTGTCTCCCCATGTCTCTCTGTCTCTTTATCTGCCCGTGTCTCTCTCTCTGTCTTTGTATCTGTCTGTGTCTCTGTCTGTCTGTGTGTCTGTCTGTGTCTCTGTGTCTCTGACTGTCTCTCTGTCTCTATGTGTCTCTCTGTCTCTGTGTGTATCTCTGTGTGTGTATCTCTGTGTCTATGTCTCTCTGTTTCTCTGTGTCTCCGTGTCTCCGTGTCTCTGTGTCTCTCTGTCTCTGTGTCTCTGTGTCTCTGCGTGTCTCTCTCTGTGTCTCTGTGTGTGTGTCTCTGTGTCTCTGTGTCTCTCTGTGTCTCTCTGTGTGTCTCTGTATGTGTCTGTCTGTGTCTCTGTGTGTGTCTTAGTGTCTGTGTGTGTGTCTGTCTCTCTGTGTCTCTGTATGTGTGTCTCTGTCTGTGTCTGTGTCTCTGTGTGTCTCTGTGTGTCTCCACAGGCGCGTCCCAGCTACGCCCTGTCTCTCTGTCTCTGTGTGTGTCTCTCTGTCTCTGTCTCTCTGTGTCTTAGTGTATCTGTGTGTCTCTGCGTGTCTCTAGGCGCGTCCCAGCTACGCCCTGGCTCTCTGTCTCTCTGTGTCTCTGTGTGTCTCTGTGTGTCTCTGTGTGTGTCTCTCTGTGTCTCTGTGTGTCTCTGTGTGTGTCTCTCTGTCTCTCTGTGTGTGTCTCTCTGTGTCTCTGTGTGTCTCCACAGGCACGTCCCAGCTACGCCCTGTCTCTCTGTCTCTGTGTGTGTCTCTGTGTGTGTCTCTGTGTGTGTCTGTGTCTCTGTGTCTCTCTGTGTCTCTGTGTGTCTCTCTAGGCATGTCCCAGCTACGCCCTGGCTCTCTGTCTCTGTGTCTTAGTGTATCTGTGTGTGTCTCTGTGTGTGTCTGTCTCTCTGTGTCTCTCTGTGTCTCTGTGTCTCTGTGTGTCTCTAGGCACGTCCCAGCTACGCCCTGGCTCTCTGTCTCTCTGTCTCTGTGTCTCTCTCTGTCTCTCTGTCTCTCTGTGTGTGTCTCTGTGTGTCTCTGTGTGTCTCTGCGTGTCTCTGTCTGTGTCTCTGTGTGTCTGTGTCTCTGTGTGTGTCTCTGTGTCTGTCTCTCTTAGTGTCTCTGTGTGTCTGTGTCTCTGCAGGCACGTCCCAGCTACGCCCCGGCTCTATGTCTCTCTGCGTGTCTCTGTGTCTATGTGTGTGTCTCTGTGTGTGTCTCTGTGTGTGTCTCTGTGTCTCTCCACAGGCACGTCCCAGCTACGCCCCGGCTCTCTGTCTGTCTCTGTGTCTTAGTGTCTCTCTGTGTCTCTGTGTGTGTCTCTGTATGTGTCTCTCTGTGTCTCTCTGTGTCTCTGTGTCTCTGTATGTGTCTCTGTCTGTGTCTCTCTGTGTCTCCAGGCACGTCCCAGCTACGCCCCGGCTCTCTGTCTCTCTGCGTGTCTCTGTGTCTCTGTGTGTGTCTCTGTGTGTGTCTCTGTGTGTGGCTCTGTGTCTCTCCAGGCACGTCCCAGCTACGCCCTGGCTCTCTGTCTCTCTGTGTCTCTGTCTGTGTCTCTCTGTGTGTCTCTGTGTGTCTCTCTGTGTGTGTGTCTGTGTCTCTAGGCACGTCCCAGCTACGCCCTGGCTCTCTGTCTCTCTGTGTCTCTCTGTGTCTCTCTGTGTGTGTCTCTGTCTCTCTGTGCCTCTCTGTGTCTCTCTGTGTATGTCTCTGTCTCTCTGTGTCTCTCTGTGTCTCTCTGTGTGTCTCTGTCTCTCTGTGTCTCTCTGTGTCTCTCTGTGTATGTCTCTGTCTCTCTGTGTCTCTCTGTGTCTCTGTGTGTCTCTGTGTCTCTGTGTGTGTCTCTGTGTGTCTCTGTCTCTCTGTGTCTCTGTGTGTCTCTGTGTCTCTGTGTGTGTCTCTGTGTGTCTCTGTGTCTCTGTGTCTCTGTGTCTCTCTGTCTCTGTGTGTGTCTCTGTGTCTCTGTGTCTCTCTGTCTCTCTGTGTCTTAGTGTCTCTGTGTGTCTCTCTCTGCATGTCTCTCTAGGGACGTCCCAGCTACGCCCTGGCTCTCCAGGCGGCTTCTGTGTGTCTCTGTGTCTTAGTGTCTCTGTGTGTCTCTCTCTGTCTCTGTGTGTGTCTCTGTGTCTCTGTGTCTCTGTGTGTCTCTGTGTCTTAGTGTCTCTGTGTGTCTCTCTCTGTCTCTGTGTCTCTCTGTGTCTCTCTGTGTCTCTGTGTGTGTCTCTGCGTGTGTCTCCAGGCACGTCCCAGCTACGCCCTGGCTCTCTGTCTCTGTGTCTGTGTCTCTCTGTGTCTCTCTGTCTCTCTGTGTGTCTCTGTGTCTCTGTGTCTCTGTGTGTCTCTGCGTGTGTCTCCAGGCACGTCCCAGCTACGCCCTGGCTCTCTGTCTCTCTGTGTGTGTCTCTGTGTGTCTCTGTCTCTCTGTCTCTCTGTGTGTGTGTCTCTGTGTGTGTCTCTGTGTCTTAGTGTCTCTCTGTGTCTCTGTGTGTCTCTGTGTGTGTCTCTGTGTCTTAGTGTCTCTCTGTGTCTCTGTGTGTCTCTGTGTGTGTGTGTCTCTGCGTGTGTGTCTCTGTGTCTCTGTGTGTCTCTGTGTGTGTCTCTGTGTCTTAGTGTCTCTCTGTGTCTCTGTGTGTCTGTGTGTGTGTGTGTCTCTGCGTGTGTGTCTCAGTGTCTCTGTGTGTCTGCGCGTGTCTCCAGGCACGTCCCAGCTACGCCCCGGCTCTCCAGGCGGCTTCCGCGTCCCCTTCAGCCCCAACGCCACCGGCTGCGGCGCCGCCATGCGGGCCATGTGCATCGGGCTACGGTGACGCGTACGGTCACGTGACACCGCCCTGTCACGTGACACCACCACCTACGCAGGGGGGGTGGGGGGGGGCGACTTCCTGTTGGGGGAGGGGCACTTCCTGTTGGGGGGGGGGCACTTCCTGTTGGGGGAGGGGCACTTCCTGTTGGGGGAGGGGCCACTTCCTGTTGGGGGAGGGGCACTTCCTGTTGGGGGGGGGCGACTTCCTGTTGGGGGGGGGGGCACTTCCGGTTGGGGGGGGCTCTTTCTGCCACCTGGGTTGTTGTTGTGGTGGTGGTGGTGGTTGTGGTTGTTGTGGTGGTGGTTGTGGTAGTGGTGGTTGTGGTAGTGATGGTTGTGGTTGTGGTAGTGGTGGTTGTGGTTGTGATGGTTGTGGTGGTGGTTGTGGTTGTTGTGGTGGTGGTTGTGGTTGTGATGGTTGTGGTTGTGATGGTTGTGGTTGTGGTAGTGGTGGTTGTGGTTGTGATGGTTGTGGTTGTGATGGTGGTGGTTGTGGTTGTGATGGTTGTGGTTGTGATGGTGGTTGTTGTGGTAGTGGTGGTTGTGGTTGTTGTGGTGGTGGTTGTGATGGTGGTTGTTGTGGTAGTGGTGGTTGTGGTTGTGATGGTTGTGGTTGTGATGGTGGTTGTGGTTGTTGTGGTGGTGGTAGTGGTGTTTTGGTAGTGAGGGTGGTGGTTCAAGTTCATGTATTAGATAGAGCCCTGTGAGCCATTCGGCTCTTGAATCGGGTGCAACCGCAACAAACAAAAAACATGAACAAGAAAACATCTTAAAGTGACTGAGTGCAAACAGAAAATCCAAGAAAAGACTGTTAAATATTGCAGAAAAATCACCGTACACCGACACTGCGTGCAAATATCCCAGTGGAATGCAAGTCAAACAACAACAACAACCACAAGACAACTTAGATTAAGGCCATCAGTCTAACTCTGTACTACAACAACACAAACAACAACAACCACAAGACAACTTAGATTAAGGCCATCAGTCTAACTCTGTACTACAACAACACAAACAACAACAACCACAAGACAACTTAGATTAAGGCCATCAGTCTAACTCTGTACTACAACAACACAAACAACAACAACCACAAGACAACTTAGATTAAGGCCATCAGTCTAACTCTGTACTACAACAACACAAACAACAACAACCACAAGACAACTTAGATTAAGGCCATCAGTCTAACTCTGTACTACAACAACACAAACAACAACAACCACAAGACAACTTAGATTAAGGCCATCAGTCTAACTCTGTACTACAACAAACAACAACAACAACCACAAGACAACTTAGATTAAGGCCATCAGTCTAACTCTGTACTACAACAAACAACAACAACAACCACCACAAGACAACTTAGATTAAGGCCATCAGTCTAACTCTGTACTACAACAAACAACAACAACAACAAGACAACTTAGATTAAGGCCATCAGTCTAACTCTGTACTACAACACAAACAACAACAACCACAAGACAACTTAGATTAAGGCCATCAGTCTAACTCTGTACTACAACAACACAAACAACAACAACCACAAGACAACTTAGATTAAGGCCATCAGTCTAACTCTGTGCTACAACAAACAACAACAACAACAAGACAACTTCGATTAAGGCCATCAGTCTAACTCTGTACTACAACAAACAACAACAACAACAACAAGACAACTTAGATTAAGGCCATCAGTCTAACTCTGTGCTACAACAAACAACAACAACAACCACAAGACAACTTAGATTAAGGCCATCAGTCTAACTCTGTACTACAACAACACAAACAACAACAACCACAAGACAACTTAGATTAAGGCCATCAGTCTAACTCTGTACTACAACAAACACAAACAACAACCACAAGACAACTTAGATTAAGGCCATCAGTCTAACTCTGTGCTACAACAAACAACAACAACAACCACAAGACAACTTAGATTAAGGCCATCAGTCTAACTCTGTACTACAACAACACAAACAACAACAACAACAACAAGACAACTTAGATTAAGGCCATCAGTCTAACTCTGTACTACAACCACAAGACAACTTAGATTAAGGCCATCAGTCTAACTCTGTACTACAACAACACAAACAACAACAACCACAAGACAACTTAGATTAAGGCCATCAGTCTAACTCTGTACTACAACAACACAAACAACAACAACCACAAGACAACTTAGATTAAGGCCATCAGTCTAACTCTGTACTACAACAACACAAACAACAACAACCACAAGACAACTTAGATTAAGGCCATCAGTCTAACTCTGTACTACAACAACACAAACAACAACAACCACAAGACAACTTAGATTAAGGCCATCAGTCTAACTCTGTACTACAACAAACAACAACAACAACAAGACAACTTAGATTAAGGCCATCAGTCTAACTCTGTACTACAACAAACAACAACAACAACCACAAGACAACTTAGATTAAGGCCATCAGTCTAACTCTGTACTACAACAACACAAACAACAACAACCACAAGACAACTTAGATTAAGGCCATCAGTCTAACTCTGTACTACAACAACACAAACAACAACAACCACAAGACAACTTAGATTAAGGCCATCAGTCTAACTCTGTACTACAACAAACACAAACAACAACCACAAGACAACTTAGATTAAGGTCATCAGTCTAACTCTTCTTCTTGGTTCTTTCGGTAAAGTCACGTAGAAGGGAAGTAATAAAATAATAAAAATAAAACATAATAAAACAATTCTCACGACGTTGACAAAGGAATTTGCATATTAAAAGGAATTTAGCATATTTATGGGAAATGCAGGAATGTGATTAGTACTGCATATGCATGTGCATTATGCAGGATTAACAGCATCAAAGGGAGCTGCAGTTACAGCTGCTGCTGCAGTTGCTGCTGCTGCTGCAGTTGCTGCTGCTGCTGCAGTTGCTGCTGCTGCTGCAGTTGCTGCTGCTGCTGCAGTTGCTGCTGCTGCTGCAGTTGCTGCTGCTGCTGCACTTGCTGCTGCTGCTGCAGTTGCTGCCTTATCCATTTTAATATAACACTATGTATTATTCTACCCACCCTAATGTGTATCACACTGCTATATGTTTACTATACAATTACGACACCATACATTACTCTGCACACTGCACCATGCCAGTGAGTGGAACGCGGTCTGAAAGTCACCGTAAACGTGAACACAATCAGTTAAGATCCGAAATGGTTTATTACGTCCTTCCAATGATTGCTAAGCCAGAATCCATCTTCTCGGTTGAAATTGTCTCTGTGTTTGTATATGTGGATCGCCTCATGAACGAATCTCTCATGATAGCCAGATGGCTTGCAGAGAACCTCTGTCTTGGAGAAGTCAATGTCATGTGAGCCCATTGAATTGTAACAGTGATCTGCCACGGCTGAGGTGTTTGTCCTACCGTGTTTCAGGTCTGCCTTATGTTCACGGATGCGGTCCGAGACATGTCGTTTGGTTTCTCCAATGTAACTGCTACCACAGAGGCAACTTAGTTTGTAGACGCCAGGGTACTGTATGTCTGGAACCACATCTTTTACAGACGGGACCAGATCACGGATTTTATGTACTGTGTTGAATCGGACCTGGATCTTGTGTTTAATCAGGATTTTGGAGATCTTTTTTGTGACCCCAGCAATGTAGGGTAAGGTGATGGTCTTGAAAGGCTCCTCAACAGGATCCTTCTTGATGGTTGGAGTGATGGCTTTGCGGATTGTGTAGTCGGAGTAACCATTAGCCTTAAGAGCTTGGCGTACGTGTTTGAGTTCACTGGAAATGTGTTCATGGTCGGAGATGCATTGGGCTCTATGATATAGAGTCTTGATGAGGGAATTCTTCTGGTGGTGGGAATCCGGTTTTAGATAAGCATCCGTGTGGGTGGCTTTCCTGTAGACAGAGTGGCTCATTGAACCATCAGGTCTCCTTTTGATTAGGACATCCAAAAAGGGTAGCTTGCCATCATTTTCGACTTCCATGGTGAATCTGATGGCTGGGTGTATGGAATTGATGTGGTCGAGAAATTGGTCTAGAGCAGGCCGGCCATGTGGCCAGATGACAAAAGTGTCGTCTACGTACCTCTTACCGGATTCCCACCACCATCCATCCCAGAAGAATTCCCTCATCAAGACTCTATATCATAGAGCCCAATGCATCTCCGACCATGAACACATTTCCAGTGAACTCAAACACGTACGCCAAGCTCTTAAGGCTAATGGTTACTCCGACTACACAATCCGCAAAGCCATCACTCCAACCATCAAGAAGGATCCTGTTGAGGAGCCTTTCAAGACCATCACCTTACCCTACATTGCTGGGGTCACAAAAAAGATCTCCAAAATCCTGATTAAACACAAGATCCAGGTCCGATTCAACACAGTACATAAAATCCGTGATCTGGTCCCGTCTGTAAAAGATGTGGTTCCAGACATACAGTACCCTGGCGTCTACAAACTAAGTTGCCTCTGTGGTAGCAGTTACATTGGAGAAACCAAACGACATGTCTCGGACCGCATCCGTGAACATAAGGCAGACCTGAAACACGGTAGGACAAACACCTCAGCCGTGGCAGATCACTGTTACAATTCAGTGGGCTCACATGACATTGACTTCTCCAAGACAGAGGTTCTCTGCAAGCCATCTGGCTATCATGAGAGATTCGTTCATGAGGCGATCCACATATACAAACACAGAGACAATTTCAACCGAGAAGATGGATTCTGGCTTAGCAATCATTGGAAGGACGTAATAAACCATTTCGGATCTTAACTGATTGTGTTCACGTTTACGGTGACTTTCAGACCGCGTTCCACTCACTGGCATGGTGCAGTGTGCAGAGTAATGTATGGTGTCGTAATTGTATAGTAAACATATAGCAGTGTGATACACATTAGGGTGGGTAGAATAATACATAGTGTTATATTAAAATGGATAAGGCAGCAACTGCAGCAGCAGCAGCAAGTGCAGCAGCAGCAGCAACTGCAGCAGCAGCAGCAACTGCAGCAGCAGCAGCAACTGCAGCAGCAGCTGTAACTGCAGCTCCCTTTGATGCTGTTAATCCTGCATAATGCACATGCATATGCAGTACTAATCACATTCCTGCATTTCCCATAAATATGCTAAATTCCTTTTAATATGCAAATTCCTTTGTCAATGCGCCCAGCTTATATATATGCTCCAAGCTCGTGTGCTGTTTCATTCAGACTCTGTCGCCTCGACGGACCTGGTTTTCACCTGAGGACGGCTGCTTGCGTTGTGGCCGAAACGTCGTGAGAATTGTTTTATTTTTATTATTTTATTACTTCCCTTCTACGTGACTTTACCGAAAGAACCAAGAAGATGAATCCCTGCAGTCACGAAAGCTTTAAATCGAAATACAGTCTAACTCTGTACTACAACAAACAACAACAACAACCACAAGACAACTTAGATTAAGGCCATCAGTCTAACTCTGTACTACAACAACACAAACATGGCCAAACCAAAAAACTTTTCGAAAATCACCAAAATAAAGCCATAAAAGCAATGTAACGGTGATCATAGGAACTGTGACCGAGTTTTTACAATAAACGACATAAACAACATGTACCACCACCAAACTCTGCAGTCATAGCTGGCTGCATGAGTCACTCCACAACAACAGTAGGAGCATCAGTCTGAGTATCAACATTTTTCAATGCACCTTTAAGATCAGCACACTAAATCAAAACACAGATCATACTTTGCAGCGATCATCCGGAGCGAAACATTTTATTTTAGGCCACTAAATTGCTGTGGCAGCTCGAGGTGCACAACTCCTCTAGAGCAGTTTTGAGTGAAGATCTCACAGGTAGTGACTCAAGTTGCAGTTTCTTGGAAATAGCATTCCAGACCCTGGGGGCATCAATAGCAAAGGCCTTTCCTCCAGTATTTGTGCGGCAATAGGGAATGTGAAGCTGGTAAATGAGCGAAGACCTTAGGTCAAATTTGTTCTTTGAAACAGAGAGGAGATCCAGCAGGTAGTCTGCGGATTTTTTTGCAAGTAAGATCTGGTGCACAAGCCGTCGAACATTCAGAGATGTTAAGTTTGACCCAATGTAGAGATCACAGTGGTGAGTCCTATATGGGCAGTTCAATGCAAATCTTAAGGCCGAGTGATACATTGAGTCAAGCTTGTTGTGGTGGTGGTGGTGGTTGTGGTAGTGATGGTGGTGGTGGTTGTGGTAGTGATGGTTGTGGTTGTTGTGGTGGTTGTGGTGGTGGTGGTAGTGATGGTTGTGGTAGTGATGGTGGTGATTGTTGTGGTGGTTGTTGTGGTGGTTGTTGTGTGTAGGTATCCACGTGAAGAGCAGCTTGATGATCTGGTTGAGGTGAGCTTGGTGAGTGGCAAGATGACTCACAACAACCCAACAGGTACTCACCTCACCACTCACCCACCACTCACTCACACACTCACTCACCACTCACTCACACACTCACCCACTCACCCACTCACTCACTCACTCACATACTCACTCACTCACCACTCACTCACACACACACTCACCACTCACTCACACACACACTCACCACTCACCCACCACTCACTCACATACTCACTCACTCACCCACCCACTCACCCACTCACTCACTCACTCACACACACACTCACCACTCACTCACACACACACTCACCACTCACTCACATACTCACACACACACTCACCACTCACTCACATACTCACTCACTCACTCACCCACTTACTCACCCACCCACTCACTCACTCACCCACCACTCACTCACTCACCCACTCACTCACTCACTCACACACTCACCACTCACCACCACACTCACTCACCCACCACTCACTCACTCACCCACTCACTCACTCACCACTCACCCACTCACTCACCCACTCACTCACCCACTCACCCACTCACTCACTCACCCACTCACTCACACACTCACTCACTCACTCACCCACTCACTCACTCACCACTCACCCACTCACCCACTCACTCACTCACACACTCACCCACTCACCCACCGACTCACTCACCCACTCACCCACTCACACACTCACTCACCCACTCACTCACCCACTCACCCACCACTCACCCACTCACTCACCCACTCACCCACTCACTCACTCACTCACCCACCCACTCACCCACTCACTCACCCATTCACCCACCACTCACTCACTCACCCACTCACTCACTCACTCACCCACCCACTCACCCACTCACTCACTCACCATTCACCCACCACTCACTCACCCAATCACTCACCCACTCACCTCACCACTCACCCACCACTCACTCACCACTCACTCACCACTCACTCACACACACACTCACCACTCACTCACCCACTCACCCACTCACTCACCCACTCACTCACCACTCACTCACACACTCACTCACTCACTCACTCACCCACACACTCACTCACCCACTCACCCACTCACCCACCCACCCACTCACCCACTCACTCACTCACCCACTCACTCACACACTCACTCACCCACTCACTCACCACTCACCCACTCACCCACTCACTCACTCACCCCACTCACCCACCCACACACTCACTCACTCACTCACACACTCACCCACTCACCCACCCACTCACTCACCCACCACTCACTCACTCACCCACTCACTCACTCACCACTCACCCACTCACTCACCCACTCACTCACCCACTCACCCACTCACTCACTCACCCACTCACTCACACACTCACTCACTCACCCACTCACTCACTCACCACTCACCCACTCACCCACTCACTCACTCACCCACTCACCCACTCACCCACCCACTCACTCACTCACTCACCCATTCACCCACCACTCACTCACTCACCCACTCACTCACTCACTCACCCACCCACTCACCCACTCACTCACTCACCCATTCACCCACCACTCACTCACCCAATCACTCACCCACTCACCTCACCACTCACCCACCACTCACTCACCACTCACTCACCACTCACTCACACACACACTCACCACTCACCCACTCACCCACTCACTCACCCACTCACTCACCACTCACTCACACACTCACTCACTCTCTCACTCACCCACACACTCACTCACCCACTCACCCACTCACCCACCCACCCACTCACCCACTCACTCACTCACCCACTCACTCACACACTCACTCACCCCACTCACTCACCACTCACCCACTCACCCACTCACTCACTCACCCACTCACCCACCCACACACTCACTCACTCACTCACTCACCCACTCACCCACCCACTCACTCACCCACCACTCACTCACTCACCCACTCACTCACTCACCACTCACCCACTCACTCACCCACTCACTCACCCACTCACCCACTCACTCACTCACCCACTCACTCACACACTCACTCACTCACCCACTCACTCACTCACCACTCCACCCCCCCACTCACTCACTCACACACTCACCCACTCACCACCGACTCACTCACCCACTCACCCACTCACACACTCACTCACCTACTCACTCACTCACTCACCCACTCAGCCACTCACACACTCACTCACCCCACTCATTCACCCACTCACACACTCACTCACCCACTCACCCACTCACACTCACCCACCCACTCACTCACACACTCACTCACCCACTCACACACTCACTCACACACTCACTCACCCACTCACTCACCCACCACTCACACACTCACTCAACCACTCACTCACTCACCCACTCACTCACCCACTCACTCACCCACTCACTCACCCACCCACTCACACACTCACTCACTCACCCACTCACTCACCACTCACCCACTCACCCACTCACTCACTCACCCACTCACCCACCCACACACTCACTCACTCACACACTCACCCACTCACCCACCCACTCACTCACCCACCACTCACTCACTCCACCACTCACTCATCACACCACCCACTCACTCACCCACTCACTCACCCACTCACCCACTCACTCACCCACTCACTCACTCACCCACTCACTCACACACTCACTCACTCACCCACTCACTCACTCACCACTCACCCACTCACCCACTCACTCACTCACACACTCACCCACTCACCCACCCACTCACTCACCCACTCACCCACTCACACACTCACTCACCCACTCACTCACTCACTCACCCACTCAGCCACTCACACACTCACTCACCCACTCATTCACCCACTCACACACTCACTCACCCACTCACCCACTCACACTCACCCACCCACTCACTCACACACTCACTCACCCACTCACACACTCACTCACACACTCACTCACCCACTCACTCACCCACTCACTCACACACTCACTCAACCACTCACTCACTCACCCACTCACTCACCCACTCACTCACCCACTCACTCACCCACCCACTCACACACTCACTCACATACTCACACACGCTGTTGCTAGGCTACCTGTAGTCATGACAACACCGCTGCTGGTTGCTAGGCTACCTGGGTGCCGTGGCGGCGGCGCTGCTGGTGTCGTGTGCGGTGCGACGCGACCCCGTGGGGTCGTGGGGTCGCACGTTGACCCGGCGGGCTCTCCCTGCCGCTCGACGCCTCGTCCTGGCCGGACCGCTCGCACCGCAGGAGATGGAGCAATGGAAGTACTTTGTGACGATGTGGGAGAGGTGGGTGGGGGGGGGGTGGGTGGGTGGGGGTGGTGTGGTGTGGGTGGGTAAGTGGGTGGGGGGATGGGTGGGTGGGTGAGTGGGTGTGTGGGTGGGTGGGTGAGTGGGTGGGGGTGGGGGTGGGTGTGGGTGGGTGGGTGAGTGTGGGTGGGTGGGGGGGTGTGGGTGGGTGGGGGTGTGGGTGGGGGTGTGGGTGGGGGGGTGGGTGTGTGGGGGTGGGGGGGGGGTGGGGGGGTGTGTGAGTGTGTGGGTGTGTGAGTGGGTGGGTGGGTGGGTGAGTGAGTGAGTGAGTGGGTGAGTGGGTGGGTGGGTGAGTGAGTGGTGAGTGAGTGGGTGAGTGGGTGGGTGGGTGGGTGAGTGGGTGGGTTGGTTAGTGGGTGGGTGGGTGAGTGGGTGGGTGGGTGGGTGAGTGAGTGGGTGAGTGAGTGGGTGAGTGGGTGGGTGGGTGAGTGGGTGGGTGAGTGGGTGGGTTGGTGAGTGGGTTGGTGAGTGGGTGGGTGGGTGAGTGGGTGGGTGAGTGGGTGGGTGTGGGTCAGTGGGTGTGGGTGGGTGGGTGTGGGTCAGTGGGTGTGGGTCGGTTTGGGTGGGTGTGGGTGAGTGACACGGGCTAGAGAAGAGATGGAGTGATGTGGTGATTGAGTGTGTGGGTGAGAGGGTGAGTGAGTGGGTGAGTGAGTGGGTGAGTGAGTGAGTGTGTGATTGTGTGAGTGAGTGTGTGAGTGATTGAGTGTGTGAGTAAGTGGGTGAGTGAGTGGGTGAGTGAGTGAGTGAGTGTGTGATTGTGTGAGTGAGTGTGTGAGTGTGTGAGTGAGTGGGTGAGTGAGTGAGTGAGTGTGTGAGTGTGTGAGTGAGTATGATAGTGAGTGTGTGAGTGAGTGGGTGAGTGTGTGGGTGAGTGAGTGAGTGAGTGTGTGAGTGAGTGTGTGAGTGAGTGAGTGACACGGGCTAGAGAAGAGATGGAGTGATGTGGTACAGGAGGACGTGGAGCTGAGTGGACTTGCCGATGACTGGTACCAGCGGTGTCAAGATCGGCCTCAGTGGAGGAGGCTCGTAAAGGACGCTACTGGGCATTTGGAGGCAGTCGTCCTCCAACAACAACGGAGGGCGGAGGAGCGACGCTCACAACAACGAGCGGAGCTCCGGGTGGCTAAAGCACAGCAAGTTGGCACAGTAGGGGGCACAGGTGGTGCATCAGCCAGTCATCTCGGTCATCTCAGTCAGTCGACCCGTGGCACCTGCTGGGTCTGCCCCGTGACCTCCTGCCAGCGGGCGTTCGACACTTCACGTGGTAGCCTCAAGGTGCACTTGGCCTGGCACAAGCGTCGTGGTGACGTCACCGCCACTTAGTGGCGAATGGTGGTTGTTGTTGTTGTGGGTGAGTGTTGTTGTTGTGGGTGAGTGTTGTCGGTTGTTGTTGTAGGTGAGTGTTGTTGGTTGTTGTTGTGGGTGAGTGTTGTCGGTTGTTGTTGTGGGTGAGTGTTGTCGGTTGCTGTTGCTGTCATTTTCGGTTGTTGTCGATTGTTGTTTGTTGCTGTTTTCGGTTGTTGTTGTCGTCTGTTGCTGCCACTTTCGGTTGTTGTCGTCGGTTGTTGTTATTCCAAGTTATTCGTTGTCGATTGTTGTCGCCGTCACCGCCGTAGCTACCTTCTGGAGCGCAACATTGCCGAAGATACCGCCACCACCGCCACCACCGCCACCGCCACCACCACCGCCGCCACCACCACCACCGCCACCACCACCGCCACCACCGCCACCACCGCATCAACGGCCACGTTCCCCGCGAGCCTCTCCACCCCAGAAGGACGTGACGAGGCCTACAAGGCCTGGAGCCTGGACGGCTGGGCAGGCCGCAGCGGCCATGACGCCCCCATGATCGCCTACGACGCCATCCTGCGAGCCGCCCCGAGCATGGAACGTCGGACTTCGGCCGAGGGGGCGGCCGAGGGCTGGGAGCTTCTGTGCAGCTACGGGATGTTCCACGGAGGTGAGCGCATGCGATGGCGACCAACGGAGCCTCAGAGAGGGGGGGGCGGAGAGATTCGTGTGTGGGTCTCTGTGTGGGTCTTTGTGTGGGTGTCTCTGTGGGTTTTCTGTGGGTCTCTGTGGGTCTCTGTGTGGGTCTCTGTGGGTGTCTCTGTGTGTCTTTGTGTGGGTGTCTCTGTGGGTCTCTGTGGGTCTCTGTGGGGTTTCTGTGGGTCTTTGTGGGGTTTCTATGGGTATCTGTGGGTCTCTGTGTGTCTCAGTGAGTCTCTGTGTGGGTCTCTGTGGGTTTCTGTGTGGGTCTTTGTGTGGGTCTCTGTGTGTGTCTCTGTGGGTCTCTGTGTGTGTCTCTGTGTGTGTCTCTGTGGGTCTCTGTGTGGATCTCTGTGTGGTTCACTGTCTAGGTCTCTGTGTGTGTCTCTGTGGGTCTCTGTGTGGGTCTCTGTGGGTCTCTGTGGGTGTCTCTACACACACACGCGCCTACACACACGCCTACACACACACACACCTACACACACACGCGCCTATACACACACACACACCTACACACACACGCGCCTACACACACACGCACCTACACACACACACCTACACACACACGCACCTACACTCACTGCCCGGTGTCCACGTGTGATCTCTATGCAGGTGACAGCGACAGTACCGGGGTGATTGTAGGCGCACCCACACACACACCTACACACACACCTACACACACACACACCTACACACACACACCTACACACACACACCTACACACACACCTACACACACACCTACACACACACACCTACACACACACACCTACACACACACCTACACACACACACCTACACACACACGCCTACACACACACACACCTACACACACACACCTACACACACACACCTACACACACACCTACACATCTACACACACCTACACACACACACACACCTACACCACACACACCCTACACATCTACACACACCTACACACACACCTACACACACATACCTACACACCACACACCTACACATGTGTCCGCGTGTGATCTCTACGCAGGTGACAGTGACAGTACCGGGGTGATTGCGGGCGCACACACACACACACCTACACACACACCTACACCTACACACACACCTATACACACACACCTACACACACACACACCTACACACCTACACACACCTACACACACCTACACACACACACACCTACACACACACCTACACACCTACACACACACCTACACACACACACCTACACACACCTACACACACACACACCTACACACACACACCTACACACACACACCTACACACACACCTACACTCTACACACACACCTACACACACACACATCTACACACACACCTACACACACACCTACACACACAAACACACCTACACACTACACACACACACCTACACACACACACCTACACACACACCTACACACACACTGACACACACACACCTACACACACACACCTACACACACACCTACACACACACACCTACACACACACGCCTACACACACACACACCTACAGACACACACCTACACACACACCTACACACACACCCTACACATCTACACACACCTACACACACACACACACCTACACACACACACCCCTACACATCTACACACACCTACACACACACCTACACACACATACCTACACACACACACACCTACACATGTGTCCGCGTGTGATCTCTACGCAGGTGACAGTGACAGTACCGGGGTGATTGCGGGCGCACACACACACACACCTACACACACACCTACACCTACACACACACCTATACACACACACCTACACACACACACACCTACACACCTACACACCACACACACCTACACACACACACTACACACATAGCTACACACCTACACACCTACACACACACACTACACACCTACACACACCTACACACACACACCTACACACACACACCTACACACACACACCTACACACACACCTACACACACACACACCTACACACACACACATCTACACACACACCTACACACACACCTACACACACACACACCTACACACACCTACACACACACCTACACGTGTGTCCGCGTGTGATCTCCACACAGGTGACAGTGACAGCACCGGGGTGATTGCGGGCGCACACGCACACACACCTACACACACCTACACACACCTACACACACCTACACACACCTACACACACACACCTACACACACACACCTACACACGTGTCCGTGTGTGATCTCTACACAGGTGACAGTGACAGCACCGGGGTGATTGCGGGCGCACACACACACACACCTACACACACACCTACACACACACACACCTACACACACCTACACACACACCTACACACACACCTACACGTGTGTCCGCGTGTGATCTCCACACAGGTGACAGTGACAGCACCGGGGTGATTGCGGGCGCACACGCACACACACCTACACACACCTACACACACCTACACACACCTACACACACCTACACACACACACCTACACACACACACCTACACACACACACCTACACACGTGTCCGTGTGTGATCTCTACACAGGTGACAGTGACAGCACCGGGGTGATTGCGGGCGCACACACACACACACCTACACACACACCTACACACACACACACCTACACACACACACACACACCTACACACACACACCTACACACACACACCTACACACGTGTCCGTGTGTGATCTCTACACAGGTGACAGTGACAGCACCGGGGTGATTGCGGGCGCACACACACACACACCTACACACACACCTACACACACACACACCTACACACACCCACACACACACACACACCTACACACACACACCTACACACACACACCTACACACGTGTCCGTGTGTGATCTCTACACAGGTGACAGTGACAGCACCGGGGTGATTGCGGGCGCACACACACACACACCTACACACACACCTACACACACACACACCTACACACACACCTACACACACACACACCTACACGTGTGTCTACGTGTGATCTCCACGCAGGTGACAGTGACAGCACCGGGGTGATTGCTGGCGCCTGCTGGGGGGCTCTGTGGGGTCTGCAGGGGGTCCCGTCCGGCAACCACCAACACCTCGAATATCGCGAGAGACTCGTTCAGTCGGCTGATGCCCTCCACCGCCTGGCTTGGCCTGACACACTCGCCGTGTAGAGTAGACACTCACTGTGTCACTCACTCACTGTGTCACTCACTGTGTCACTCACTGTGTAGAGTAGACACTCACTGTGTCACTCACTCACTGTGTCACTCACTGTGTCACTCACTGTGTAGTGTAGACACTCACTGTGTCACTCACTGTGTAGAGTAGACACTCACTGTGTCACTCACTCACTGTGTCACACACTCACTGTGTAGTGTAGACACTGTGTCACTCACTGTATCACTCACTCACAACCACGAACACCTCGAATACCGCGAGAGACTCATAGAGTCGGCTGATGCCCTCCACCACCTGGCCTGGCCCCACACACTCGCTGTGTAGACACTCACTGTGTAGTGTAGACACTGTGTCACTCACTGTGTCACTCACTGTGTCACTCACTCACTGTGTCACACACTCGCTGTGTCACACATTCACTGTGTAGAGTAGACACTCACTGTGTCACTCACTGTGTCACTCACTGTGTCACACATTCACTGTGTCACTGTGTCACTCACTCACAACCACGAACACCTCGAATATCGCGAGAGACTCGTTCAGTCGGCTGATGCCCTCCACCGCCTGGCTTGGCCTCACACACTCGCTGTGTAGAGTAGACACTCACTGTGTCACTCACTGTGTCACTCACTGTGTCACTCACTGTGTCACACACTCACTGTGTCACTCACTGTGTCACTCACTGTGTCACTCACTGTGTCACACACTCACTGTGTCACTCACTGTGTCACTCACTGTGTCACTCACTCACTGTGTCACTCACTGTGTTACTCACTGTGTCACTCACTCACTGTGTCACTCACTGTGTCACACACTCGCCGTGTAGACACTCACTGTGTCACTCACTCACTGTGTCACTCACTCACTGTGTCACTCACTCACTGTGTCACTCACTGTGTCACACACTCGCCGTGTAGACACTCACTGTGTCACTCACTCACTGTGTCACTCACTCACTGTGTCACTCACTCACTCACTGTGTTACTCACTGTGTCACTCACTGTGTAGAGTAGACACTGTGTCACTCACTGTGTCACTCACTCACTGTGTAGTGTAGACACTCACTGTGTCACTCACTGTGTAGTGTAGACACTCACTGTGTAGAGTAGACACTCACTGTGTCACTCACTCACTGTCACACACTGTGACACTCACTGTGACACTGTGTCACACACTCACTGTGTCACTCACTCACTGTGTCACACACTCACTGTGTAGAGTAGACACTGTGTAGTGTAGACACTCAATGTGTCACTCACTCACTGTGTCACTCACTGTGTCACTCACTCACTGTGTCACACACTCACAGTGTAGAATAGAGACCCACAGACTTGCTGGTGTAGAGACTCACAGTGTAGAGACTCACTGTGTAGTGTAGACACTCACTGTGTAGAGTAGAGACCCACAGACTTTCTGGTGTAGAGACTCACTGTGTAGAAACGATCTACAAAAACTCTGTACACATCCAGACCTACACAACAATAGACTCACACAGAGACCTAAAGAACAATAGTCTCACACAGAGAACAATAGACTCACACAGAGACCTAGACAACAATAGACTCACACAGAGAACAATAGACTCACACAGAGACCTAAAGAACAATAGTCTCACACAGAGAACAATAGACTCACACAGAGACCTAGACAACAATAGACTCACACAGAGAACAATAGACTCACACAGAGACCTAAAGAACAATAGTCTCACACAGAGAACAATAGACTCACACAGAGACCTAAAGAACAATAGTCTCACACAGAGAACAATAGACTCACACAGAGACCTAAAGAACAATAGACTCACACAGAGACCTAAAGAACAATAGCCTCACACAGAGAACAATAGACTCACACAGAGACCTAGACAACAATAGACTCACACAGAAACCCAGAGAACAATAGACTCACACAGAGACCTCAACAACAGTAGACTCACCCAGAGAACAATAGACTCACACAGAGAACAATAGACTCACACAGAGACCTAGACAACAATAGACTCACACAGAGAACAATAGACTCACACAGAGATCTAGAGAACAATAGACACACAGAGACCTAGACAACAATAGACTCACACAGACAACAATAGACTCACACAGAGACCTAAAGAACAATAGACTCACACAGAGACATAGACAACAATAGACTCACACAGAGAACAATAGACTCACACAGAGATCTAGAGAACAATAGACACACAGAGACCTAGACAACAATAGACTCACACAGACAACAATAGACTCACACAGATACCTAAAGAACAATAGACTCACACAGAGACATAGACAACAATAGACTCACACAGAGAACAATAGACTCACACAGAGATCTAAAGAAAAATAGACACACAGAGACCTAGACAACAATAGACTCACACAGACAACAATAGACTCACACAGAGACCTAAAGAACAATAGACTCACACAGAGACCTAGAGAACAATAGACTCACACAGAGAACAATAGACTCACACAGAGAACAATAGACTCACACAGAGAACAATAGACTCACACAGAGACCTAGAGAACTATATTCACACAGAGAACAATAGACTCACACAGAGAACAATAGACTCACACAGAGAACAATAGACTCACACAGAGACCTAGAGAACAATAGACACACATAGAACAATAGATTCACATACAGAACAATAGACTCACACAGAGAACAATTGACTCACATCAGCAGCATTTGGTCTCATCAGTCGCAGCAGATGTCAGACTCCGTTTGAGTGCGCGTTAAAGATTTGCATGTGGTGCATGGCCATCATGTGACTTTGTGTGTCTCAGTGGAGACTCTGACCCTGAGACCCGGTCTCCCTGAGTCTCAGTGGAGACTCTGACCCTGAGACCCGGTCTCCCTGAGGTTCAGTGAAGACTCTGACCCTGAGACCCGGTCTCCCTGAGTCTCAGTGGAGACTTTGACCCTGAGACCCGGTCTCCCTGAGTCTCAGTGAAGACTCTGACCCTGAGACCCGGTCTCCCCGAGTCTCAGTGGAGACTCTGACCCTGAGACCCGGTCTCCCTGAGTCTCAATGGAGACTCTGACCCTGAGACCCGGTCTCCCTGAGTCTCAATGGAGACTCTGACCCTGAGACCCGGTCTCCCTGAGTATCAGTGAAGACTCTGACCCTGAGACCCGGTCTCCCTGAGTCTCAGTGGAGACTCTGACCCTGAGACCCGGTCTCCCTGAGTCTCAGTGAAGACTTTGACCCTGAGACCCGGTCTCCCCGAGTCTCACTCTGACCCTGAGACCCGGTCTCCCTGAGTCTCAGTGAAGACTTTGACCCTGAGACCCGGTCTCCCCGAGTCTCAGTGGAGACTCTGACCCTGAGACCCGGTCTCCCTGAGTCTCAGTGAAGACTCTGACCCTGAGACCCGGTCTCCCCGAGTCTCAGTGAAGACTCTGACCCTGAGACCCGGTCTCCCCGAGTCTCAGTGAAGACTCTGACCCTGAGACCCGGTCTCCCTGAGTCTCAGTGAAGACTCTGACCCTGAGACCCGGTCTCCCCGAGTCTCAGTGGAGACTCTGACCCTGAGACCCGGTCTCCCCGAGTCTCAGTGGAGACTCCGAGTCCCTGGACTGTTTCTTTACGCAGATATTTACTAAATAAATTCATAAATCGACTTCCATTGCATTGGTGATGTGGTTTTGTCAGGTTATAGATGCCTCAGTCTGGCTCTATGAGCCTCAGTCTGGTTCTGTGAGCCTCAGTCTGGCTCTATGAGCCTCAGTCTGGTTCTGTGAGCCTTAAGTCTGGCTCTGTGAGCCCTGAGGGAGCCTCGGTCTGGCTCTATGAGCCTCAGTCTGGCTCTATGAGTCTGGCTCTATGAGCCTCAGTCTGGCTCTATGAGCCTCAGTCTGGCTCTATGAGTCTGGCTCTGTGAGCCTTAAGTCTGGCTCTGTGAGCCCTGAGGGAGCCTCAGTCTGGCTCTGTGAGCCTCAGTCTGGCTCTACGAGTCTGGCTCTACGAGTCTGGCTCTGTGAACCTCAGTCTGGCTCTGTGAGCCCTGAGGGAGCCTCAGTCGGGCTCTGTGAACCTCAGTCTGGCTCTACGAGTCTGGCTCTGTGAGCCCGAGAGAGAATCGTTTTTTTTTTTTGCGCTGAAAACGTTTCGCGGGAATCGATTCCTCGGTCTAAAACAAATCGACAGTCGATTCCTGTAGCGCTCGATTTTTGCGGGAATCGATTCCCACGTGCTTTGCGAAGGGCGCGGATTCCAGGGTGCACGTGAGCGGCTGCAGCGATGGTACAGTGCAGATCACATCAACAACATCAACAACATCATCAACAACAACAACATCACCATCAACAACAACATCAACAACAACAACAACATCATCAACATCATCATCACTAGCATCACCATCACCACCATCAGCATCACCACCATCAGCATCACCAGCATCAACATCAACAACAACATCAACAACAACATCACCAACAACAACATCACCATCAACAACAACATCAACAACATAATCAACAACAACATCAGCACCACCATCACTAACATCATCACCATCATCACCACCATCAGCATCACCAGAAACATCACCATCAGCAACATCATCAGCATCACCATCACTAACATCACCATCACTAACATCATCAGCATCACCATCACTAACATCACCATCACTAACATCATCATCACCATCACTAACATCATCATCACCATCACTAACATCATCATCACCATCACTACCATCACCATCACTACCATCACTAACATCACCATCACTAACATCACCATCACTAACATCATCAGCATCACCATAACTAACATCACCATCACTAACATCATCATCACCATCACTAACATCATCATCACCATCACATCATCATCACCATCACTACCATCACCATCACTACCATCACTAACATCACCATCACTAACATCACCATCACTAACATCATCAGCATCACCATCACTAACATCACCATCACTAACATCATCATCACCATCACTAACATCATCATCACCATCACTAACATCATCATCACCATCACTACCATCACCATCACTACCATCACTAACATCACCATCACTAACATCATCATCACCATCACTACCATCACCATCACTACCATCACTAACATCACCATCACTAACATCACCATCACTACCATCATCACCATCACTACCATCATCACCATCACTACCATCACTAACATCACCATCACTACCATCACCATCATCACCATCACTACCATCACTAACATCACCATCACTAACAACATTACCATCACTAACAACATCACTACCATCAGCACCACCAAACTGAAACCTTCCGTCAATGAATTCTATCACTTGCACTCACCACACACACAAAGTAGTGAACATTCAAACACAAAACCATGCTTCTCCGCTAGTCTATGATGATGATGATGGCGATGGTGATGGTGGTGCCATTGTGTGTGTGACACTGATTGTTCCACACAACACAGACAGACAGACAGCCTTCTCTACAGCCTCAACTCAAGCGGTGCTAGACCAGATGGCAATGCCACAAATGGTGACCAGCACCAGGGCAATGCCACTCTCAGCTTATCACAACATCAGAGGGGGCGTTTTTCGATGTAAAGCTTCTTTCGTGACTGCGGGGATTCATCTTCTTGGTTCTTTCGGTAAAGTCATCACGTAGAAGGGAAATAATAAAATAATAAAAATAACAAAATCAATCAAAAGTCCATCCCATGCGTTAGTGAATTTTGTAATATTTTAGGAAGGAATTGGCAGGAAATGAGTTTTCAAATGTAGATTTTTTTTTTAATTGGGGGGGGTCCCCCCAAAACCCTGGAAGATTTGCCCCCCAATACTCTGATAGTGCGCTGTCTTTCAGTTGTACACCTTTTGGCGTCATCTGCTCCAACACCATGTGAGACTAGGCTCAAAGAAAAGCTGTCTCGGGTGTGGACCAATCAACTTCAAGGACAATGCATACATCATCAGAGTTTCTTTTTGTTTGCATTTTGACTGCTTGTGTTGTGGTTATTGCAAACATGATGCCTTGTTGTATAAAGGTGTCAGTTTTTGTGCCAGTTGAAAGGGTAAAAACCTACCACTATATTTTGCCACTGGTACAGGAGATGTCTCATACTGCATCAGAGATGTTCACACACGAAACTCTACCCCCCCCTACTCACCCTACTACCCCCAGGCGCTGGTGGCGAGGAACAGGGTGAGGAGCAGGGTGAGGCGGTGGGTGCTACTGCTACTGGGCCTCACGGAGTGTCTCCTGCTGTCCGGAGTTGTGTTTGGGTGGCCTTCCCTGGCCCACGTGCTCACCACTCAGCGCTACTTTCTGCCCGTTCACCACAACCACACAGCCCCCGACACCGCCGCTCACCTTCATGCTCACCCGCCTGCTCACCCGACTACTCACCCTTCTACTCGCCCTCCTACTCAGCATGCTAGTCACCCCCCTACTCACCCACCTACTCACCCGCGTCAGCGGCAGCAGCAGCAAGCGGCGGATAGAACCTGGGAGACATCCAACTCAACGAATGGGACCAGAGAAGGTGGGTGGGGTTCACGATGACCGTGTGGGTGGGTGGGGTTAACGATGGCCGTGTGGGTGGGTGGGTGGGGTTCACGATGGCCGTGTGGGTGGGTGGGGTTCACGATGGCCGTGTGGGTGGGTGGGTTGGGTTCACGATGACCGTGTGGTTGGGTGGGGTTCACGATGGCCGTGTGAGTGGGTGGGGTTAACGATGGCCGTGTGGGTGGGTGGGGTTCACGATAGCCGTGTCACTAGGTGGGGTTCACGATGGCCGTGTGGGTGAGTGGGTGGGGTTCACGATGGCCGTGTGGGTGGGTGAGTGGGGTTCACGATGGCAGTGTGGGTGGGTGGGGTTCACGATGGCCGTGTGGGTGGGTGGGGTTCACGATGGCCGTGTGGGTGGGTGGGGTTCACGATGGCCGTGTGGGTGGGTGGGGTTCACGATGGCCGTGTGGGTGGGTGGGTGGGGTTCACGATGACCGTGTGGGTGGGTGGGGTTCACGGTGACCGTGTGGGTGGGTGGGGTTCACGATGGCCGTGTGGGTGGGTGGGGTTAACGATGGCCGTGTGGGTGGGTGGGGTTCACGATGGCCGTGTCACTAGGTGGGGTTCACGATGGCCGTGTGGGTGAGTGGGTGGGGTTCACGATGGCCGTGTGGGTGGGTGGGTGGGGTTCACGGTGACCGTGTGGGTGGGTGGGGTTCACGATGGCCGTGTGGGTGGGTGGGGTTCACGATGGCCGTGTGGGTGGGTGGGGTTCACGATGGCCGTGTGGGTGGGTGGGGTTCACGATGGCCGTGTGGGTGGGTGGGGTTCACGATGGCCGTGTGGGTGGGTGGGGTTCACGATGGCCGTGTGGGTGGGTGGGGTTCACGGTGGCCGTGTGGGTGGGTGGATGGGATTCACGATGGCCGTGTGGGTGGGTGGGTGGGGTTCACGACGGCCGTGTGGGTGGGTGGGGTTCACGGTGGCCGTGTGGGTGGGTGGAGTTCACGATGGCCTGTGGGTGGGTGGGTGGGGTTCATGATGGCCGTGTGGGTGAGTGGGTGGGGTTCACGATGGCCGTGTCACTGGGTGGGTGGGGTTCACGACGGCCGTGTCACTGGGTGGGGTTCACGATGGCCGTGTGGGTGGGTGGGTGGGGTTCACGATGGCCGTGTGGGTGGGTGGGGTTCACGATGGCCGTGTGGGTGGATGGGATTCACGACGGCCGTGTGGGTGGGTGGGGTTCACGATGGCCGTGTGGGTGGGTGGGTGGGGTTCACGATGGCCGTGTGGGTGAGTGGGGTTCACGATGGCCGTGTGGGTGAGTGGGTGGGGTTCACGACGGCCGTGTCACTGGGTGGGGTTCATGATGGCCGTGTGGGTGGGTGGGTGGGGTTCACGATGGCCGTGTGGGTGGGTGGGGTTCACGATGTCCGTGTCACTGGGTGGGGCTCATGATGGCCGTGTGGGTGGGTGGGTGGGGTTCACGATGGCCGTGTGGGTGGGTGGGGTTCACGATGGCCGTGTGGGTGGGTGGGGTTCATGATGGCCGTGTGGGTGGGTGGGTGGGGTTCACGATGGCCGTGTGGGTGGGGTTCACGATGGCCGTGTGGGTGGGTGGGGTTCACGATGGCCGTGTGGGTGAGTGGGTGGGGTTCACGATGGCCGTATCACTGGGTGGGTGGGGTTCACGACGGCCGTGTGGGTGGGTCGGTGGGGTTCACGATGTCCGTGTCACTGGGTGGGGTTCACGATGTCCGTGTCACTGGGTGGGGTTCACGATGGCCGTGCGAACTCTCTCAGGTCTCTGGCCGGACTACAACGATGACGACGACGATTTGGAGCAGCAGCAGCAGCAGCAGGAGCAGCAGCAGCAGCAGCAGGAGCAGGAGCGAGTGTTGGGCTGGGTGTTTGTGACGGCTGCCTTTGTGGGCAACGTCGCATCGCTGCCCTGTGGACTCCTTGTGGACCACGCCGGGAACACCGTCGCTCGCTCACTCGC